ATGAGAAGAGAGGACTCAATGGAAAAGACAATAATGCTGGGGAAGGTGCAGTTTAATGAGTCCCATTAAATAAAAGTGACCTTGGGCAAGTCACACACTCTCAGCCTCAGGGGAAGGCAATGGCAAACTTAGCCTGAACAAATCTTACCAAAAAACCCTCCATGATCATAGGAGCCTTAAGATCGCTATAAGTCGGAAACAACTCAAAGGCACATGACACACACAGGTTTGTGTTAAAATTGCAGCTTTAGCTTTCAAGAAAAGTAGTTTAAGGGACTAATACAAAGGGTAATGGGGTTGCCTCCATTTGCCTGTTAAAAGTGTGAAACAAAAGCTCTGTACATTTTCCTCTGCTTCAAGTGGAGGTAAAATTCAAATTATTATTATTATTATTATTATTTCTTTCGAAATGAGCAGATGCAGAGTTCCTGCTCTTTTAGATTTCCTAGTCAGAGACAGAAAACTAAGAAATGCTTGTAGATATCATATCTTCCAACATCTCACAGATGAAAACTGGGACACATGTGTTCAAGATGGCAGTTAAGTCATTAATGAGGAGAAACACACAAGCTAGAAAAATCTGCAGCAATTTGCTTTTGCCTGAGCCTACTGAGAAGGGTGAGCCAGTGTGGCATAGTGGTTTGAGTGCTGAACTATGACTCTGGAGACCAGAGTTCAAATCCCAGCTCTGCCATGTAAACCCACTGGGTGACCTTGGGCAAGTCACGCTCTCTCAGCCTCAGAGGATGGCAATGGCAAACCCTTTCTGAAGAAACCTGCTGAGAAAACCCCATGATGGGCCTTAGAGTCACCATAAATTAGAAATAAATTGAAGGCACACAACAACAGTAACTGGGAAGGGTATGATTCTGCCCTGGCTGAGTTCATTGAGCACAAACTACTTTTGCATTTGAACTCACTGTGAAACAGCTAAGGTAAACTGAGGACAAATGGGGAAAATGGAAAGAGAAAAGCTAGGATGTTTTAAAAGCATTTGTAAAAGTGGGATGACGGAGGATTAATTGGGATTGTCCTTTCCAAAGTGGGACATTTGGTGGTTGTGGAGTATTGATAAGGGACTGGTATTTCAAGCATCAGGCATCCCAGCAGAGGATGTTGGGATGAAGATGTGTTTAAGTAACAGTAAAATTTCCCAGCTGCCTCCAACAATGACAATATAGTATTAAAATACCCTGGATGTGTTTTTTAAATATAATATTAAGTTTGGGAAGCACAATTATGAGCTCAGATTTCTTTATGTTTTTTCTTGTGTGTGTGTATGTGTTTATAGGCGCAAGAATATAATATTTATACTGTTATTACAATGCTCAGGAAATCAAGACATCAGCAACCACACTAAAATTAAACATTGTATTGCGCTGTAATACATCATACTATGTATGTTTCCTCAGAAGTACTACTGAGGTCAACCCTGTTGTTCTGATTTCTGAACATGATAATCTGGATTATAAATGTGCGTCAGTTTGTAACCATAATTTCTTCCCTGTCCTAGAGTCAACTGTGTTCATTGATTTTGGAACATGATAATCTGGATTACAGTAGGCTGCATTTTTATAGGCTAGTGATATCTTGGACACTGTGAATCTTCCCTCACTGCTGGGCATTAGCTAATTTTTGTGCGTGTGTCAAAGCAATTTTCTGAACTTTAGCAAAAGTTAAGATAACACTAGTAGGATATTCAATAGCTGAAACCATGAAAAGAGTGTAAACTTTTTTAAAAAAAGACTTGCAACTTAACTTTATAGTCAGTTAATAAAGGATGTTTATATATAAGGGAGGAAAAAGGTCAGAGTAGAGGAAGAACAAACCTTAAATATAATGTAAATCCTGCTTTTTCTGGGATGGTGAAATGTAGTTGCCACTTACTTGTAATTTATGATGATGTGAAGGTTGTTAGAATTGTATCTCGTGAGACCACCAAATATCTAAAATAGAGATGGATAACCTGTGGCAGTCCAGGTGCTGTTGGTTTGCAATTCCCATCAGTCCTAGGCAGCATCCTAGTGGTGAAGGATGATAGAGGTAATAGTACAGCACCACAAGGAGTGCCAGATATTCCCTTTTCATGAACTAAAGCCTGGGGCTGCACAGGGCGGAAACAAGATACTGTATTTATTGTATATATATGTTACAATAAATAAAATATCTTGTTTCCACCCTGTGCAGCCCCAGGTTTTAGTTCATGAAAAGGGAATATATAATAAATAAAATATCTTGTTTCCAAATATCTTGTATATATATTGCCAGGAATAAAAGATGAGTCTAATGTTGATCCCGACTACTTAACTTTATAAGACACTGATAAACAGATTGCCAGTTTCATTGAGAGAGTGGGAGACAAACAGAGATGAAAGGATCAGAGTTAAAAGCACTGCTTTTTTATTATAAAAACCAATTGTTTGAAGTAGTATGGCTCATACTCTTGGCATAGGGACAGTTTCAGAGTCAGAATACAAAAGAGTACTGTAGCTCCTTAGATGAAAGCGGAAAAGCATAACATTTTAAATATGAAGATATTTGAAAGCAGACCTATACCTGGTAAAAGTGCAGAAAAGTAAGAAAGGGAGGCTTTCAAACAAAATGGCCTCTTTGAAATATTTCTTCCAGTTTGTTTATTAAAGGTCCCTCATCCAGTCGTTTTTTATTGGCATCCTTTAAAATAGAAAGTGTGTTCATAAATTCTGGAGACACATTATTTTACACAAAGATTTATTCTGTGTTTTTGTATTTTCTTGATTAGGGAATTCCTTTCTGTGGTTGCAGTACTATCCCCACTTTTGTAAAAGCTGAGAAATCAGCAGGACCATTGAGTACCATTGATGCTTGGAAGAGTCAGTCTGAAGTTTATGAGATAACCATGTTTTGCCATCTGTGTGAATGGAAGATCCAGGTGTTTAAGCATTCAGTGGATTTCTGTTAGCTTTCACACTAGCTTGTGGAGATGGCTAACTCTTTTCATTCGTTCTGTACAATGGTGGCTACTTAGAGTATTAAGCTTATTGCACTAGTACCTGTAACATTCCCATCGAGTCCCTGGAACGTAATGATATGGGAACGGGTGTTACTGCATTAGACTATTGATAACACAATAGTAACGTTATGAGAACACATATTATCGCACAGCATTTACTGTTGTACCAGTACCAGCTCTAAAGCAGTTCCTCAGCCGTCCCTCATTGACTCATGCTCACTGTTGCGAAAACTCCTATGTCTGCATTGGAAAGAATGCTACTGAGAGGTTTAGGTAGCCACCATTCATTGTTTTTTTCTTGTGAACACCGCACAATTCAATCTACAAAAATAAAAATAAAAAAATTAAATTGTCTGTGGCACGGGTAGGCAACCTTTTTGAGCCGGGGGCCGGGTTGCTGTCCCTCAGACAATTGATGGGCCGAAGCACCAAAAATAAATAAATAAATAAATAAATAAATATTAAAATTAAAAAAGAATTAAAAAATTTTAAAAAATGCATGCACACTCTCTCAGAAAAGCCATGGCAAAACCCCGTGAAGATTTTGCCAAGAAAACCCCAAGAACAAGTAATAGCAACAATAATCAATATCATCATGGGGGGGCGGCGGCGGAGGGGGGGGCGGCGGCGGCAGGACCGGTTTGGGGCCGGTCCAAAGGCCTTGCTGGGCCGCATCCGGCCCCCGGGCCTTAGGCTGCCTACCCCTGGTCTGTGGCATCTTCCATGCATCAACATTGGAAGAGTTGAGCTGAGTTTGTGGATGTTCTAGGATGGGAGGGGAGGAGGTTGTCAATCAGAACATGAGGACAGATTGAGACCAGGTAGGATTATCGCACAAACATCATCTGGAATGGTCTGAAAGCGTTTTTGCTGGCTGAGGATGCATTTTTACAGTTCTGCTGGAACGGGCTATGGACTGTCAGAGCACAGAATGGGAACTCGATGAAGATCATGCCGTGCGATAAAATTCGTTCCGTTCCGTTCTCATCACGTTCCGAGAACACAGTGCGATAAGCTTATATAAATGGATCAGTTCCAAATTGTGATTTAATCCTAGGTTCATTCCTTGCTTCCTGTTTGTAGTTCCAAAGAGCACAGTTCAGAATTAGGAGATTATCACACCACAATTCACCTGCTAGATAGATGCAGGATTTAAAAGTCAAAGGTGGATTTTATTGCACTGCCCCGTAGCCAGGCAGTATGCAACCTGTATGAAACCCACAGTTCTCTGGGCTTCTCACACAATTTTTCAAACACAGGATTTTTCCATTCTTGAAAAACTGTGCAAGAAGCCAGGAGAAGCGCAGACTGCATGCCGGTTGCATAATGCCTGGCTATAGGGAAGTGCAATAAAATCCATTTTTGACTGTTAAATCCCACATCTATCCCATAGGTGAATTAGTGGTGCAATAATCTTCTTAGAATGCCATGGGTCTTGGGTTTTACATAACTCATCTCTCCATGCAAATACCTGGCAAAACAATTTTCGTTGTTCATTTGAGGGGAAAAACCTATAAAGTTCTTAAAGTTTTTTCCCCTCAAGTGTATATGACATGTATATGCTCTGGGAAGGAAGCCACAAGTTCCTGTAGTCTGCATTTATCTTGGGTTTGGGTATGATGTATTTAAGGTACACTTCTATAGTGGAGCATAAAAGCTATACTCTTTTCCTTTTCTGTTCTGTGGAGCTGCCTAGCTGAGTACATCATATTTATTTATTGCACTTCTCTGCCACCATTCTCCCAAAATGGGATCTAAGGTGGCTTATGCTAATTTTAAAAGATCCAACTAAAACATTAATTTACAAAAGGTAAAAGGGAATAAGACAACTTCATTACTAACAAACATTCTAAAACACCAAAAACACTTTAAAAGCATATATAAAACAGAGTTTCAGTTAAAAAAAATTGAAATCTATGCGCACACACAAATCCATGACATCACTTCCCATACTGTAAATCCATAGTTAAAATTCAAAAGCCTGCTGAAATAAAAGCATCTTGAACTGCTGGTGGAAAGTCAGAAGGGAGGGAGGCAACCAGACCTCCTGCCAAAGGGAGTTCCACAGCCTGGGAGCAGCCACAGAGAAGGCTCTGTTCCAAGTCCTCACCAGCTACACCTGCAGGGATGCTGGGACTGTCAAAAAGCTCTCCCTGCAGATCTCTATGTGCACCCTGGTTTATATAAGGAGATGTGGTCTTTCTTCTCATTGCTCCTTTCTACTTTAACCATCAGGTAGAAATAGTAATGATACAACAGGTACAAGCACTGGGTGCAAGTATGGGAGTGATGCATCTCTGGGAAGCTATTGTATTTGTTCCTGCTGCTGTTGTTATTACTACTGACTACAGAAATCTTTCTCTCTCCCCCCCCCTTAAGATACATTTCCCCCCAAAGTTGGACTAATGTCAAATGCAATTCTGGTTGCAAATAGTGCCACATCCCATCACTGACATAACAAGTACACTATTTTTGAAAATGCAGAAATAAGCAAGGAAGTGCACAAGTGTGTGTATGCCAACCTGGGAGGGGAAAAACAAGACTCAGGTGTGCCTAAGGGTAACTTATGTGACATTAGGAATGACATGTAATGTGCCATGCTCCTCCCAGTCCAACAGTACTATCATGTGGACAAGGATGCAGTGCCTGCAAGATATATAGTGTATTCATGCACATCTGAAAAGAGTGATGATCTCACTGTT